TATATATATATATAGGGGGCTGGCAAACTACTGGTTTTCCATCAGGACTGGAATATATTGCTCCATGTGAATGAAAGTGTATGTAGTGAGTCAACATTCATGTTGTATGATTTCTTATTTTACTAATAAAAAAAAAATAAAAAGTTTTTTACTTTTTTTCTCTGCTATTGGGGGAGAAACCTGGCTCCTGTGGTGTGCCTAGGCCTGTATACATATCATGGGAGATAGTGTTTCGAGAAATAAATGAAAATGAATGGAAATTCAATTATATTCAACTTTTTTCTTCTCGGGTGTATAAACACGAAAGCTTTGGTTGCTGCTGCTGGAAGGTTGCTGCTATACATGCAGCGATCACCAGCTGTTAGACCATTTAAATGAAAGCCTGAAGAATATTATTTAAATAAATGTTTAATATTTTATAATTAAAAGAAAAAAAAACGAAAAATTATGATGAAACGTCTTCGATTCAAAACACCAACGCCACACCGACTCAGGCCGCAGCCGACTGGCTGAAGCCCTGTGGGCTGCACAGCATCAAGGGATTCGGAAACTATATTTATTTTTCGTATTAATTTTGAATAAATATTCAACTTTTGTGAGTTTCAGGAAAATATATTCAACAACAGCACGCAGGTTTCACACGCCCGAGCTGCGGTGAGCGAGAGAGCGCCCGGCCGTCTGCTGTCGGCGGCTGTATGTACAGCAGCTGCTTCCTCTTTGCCTCTGCATCACGGAATACTCCCAGATGAATAAAAACAGAAAACACTTCATCGGAAACAGAGGCAAGAAGAGAGCAAGGAGCGGCTGCAGCGGCGCCGCCGCCAACTGAGGCAGGGCCACATGCAGCAGCAGCAGCAGCAGCAGCAGCAGCTACACACATTATGTCTTCCTCCTTAGACGAACTCTCCGATGTATTCGCAGCGGCAGAAGCTACCAGAGAGGCAGCACAGCCGGAGAAGCAGCAGCAGCAGCAGCAGCAGCAGCAGCAACTGCAGCAGCAGCATCAAGCCGCTGCAGCAGCAGCAGCAGCAGAATCTTGGCCGGGGGATGAAGCAGCTCTCTTTGGTTCCTTTCGCACCTCAAACGAGTATTCATCCAGAACGGAGTTTCCGGCATTCGAAGCAGAAATAAAAGCAGCAGCAGCAGCAGCAGCAACACCAGCAGCGCCAGCAGCAGCAGCAGCAGCGGCAGCAGCAGCGGCAGCAGCAGCAGCACCGCCACCACCAGCCACTGCATTCGACGCTACGGACCCATTTGGTGATTGGGCCTCCGCATCAGAACCCAGGGATCAGCCCCAGCAGCAAACGCAGCAGCAACAGTGGCAGCAGCAGCAGCAACAGTGGCAGCAGCAGCAGCCACAGTGGCAGCAGCAGCAGACACAGGGGCAGCAGCAGCAGCAGCCACAGTGGCAGCAGCAGCAGCCACAGGGGCAGCATCAGCAGCAGCCACAGTGGCAGCAGCAGCAGCCACAGGGGAAGCAGCAGCAACAGCCACAATGGCAGCAGCAGCAACAGCTACAAAGGCAGCAGCAGCAGCAGCCACAGTGGCAGCAGCAGCAGCAGCAGCAGCAGCAGCAGCAGCAAACTCATGAAGGCTTGGGGAGTTTCGATGGAGGACATCAGCAGCGTCTCAAGGAGGAAACCCCGCTACAATGGGGAGGCTCCGGTTCCTTTGCTGCGCTGGCGCAGCACAGCAGCAGCAGCAGCAGCAGCAGCAGCAGCAGCAGCAGCAGCAGCATGTACAGCACCCCTCAGATGTCGTTAGACGTCCATAAGCCATCGAATTTCTCCGGCTCTGCTGCTGCTGCAGCTGCTGATCGTGGTGATGTTGCTGCTGCAGCTGCTGATGAACCTACTGCTGCTGCTGCTGCTGCTGCTGCTGCTGCTGCTGCTGCTGCTTCCACTGCAGCTCCTAGGTTGCATCATCAGTCACCAGCAGCACCATCTGTATCTGCATCGGAATCACCAGAGAAGCCTGCAGCAAGGATCTCACCAGCTGTACATACAGCCGCAGCAGAAGCAACAGCAGCAGCAGCAACAGCAGCAGCAACAGCAGCAGCAGCAGCAGCAGCAGCAGAGGAGCCCAGCAGATTGCAAGGGGTTGCTGCAGCCGAAGGCCCCTCGCCTCTCTCGGGGCCCCAAGCTTCACCTGCGTACACTGCAGCAGCAGCAGCAGCGGCTAGGAGTTCTGCTGCAGTTGCTGCTGGAGTTGCTGCTGCTGCTTCTGCTGCTGCAGCAGCTGCTGCTGCTGCTTCTACTGCCTCTGCTGCCGCTCCTGATGCATGCAGCTCTGCTGCTGCTGCTGCAACACCGTCTTCAGGTAATTCATTTTCTGCTGCTGCTGCTGCTGATGATGATAGCAGCAGATGGAGACAGCACAGAAATGTTTTTATTTTATTTTTTTTTTTTTTAGTTTATTTATATTTATTTCTTTGTTTCTTTTTTTTTAGTTTTATTTATATTTATTTCTTTGTTTCTTTTTTTTTTAATTTTATTTATTTTTTGCTGAATTTGTTTGTCTCGAGTTTATCTGTCTCGGGGTCGGGTCAGGTCCTTCGCATCATATATATATATATATATATATATATATATATATATATATATATATATATATATATATATATATAT